TTATAGGGAAAGTCAAAATACGCTCCTTCGAGTGAATTGCTAATCACCCCTTTTCTTAAGAGTTATAATCTAAATATATCCTTTTAGGTTTATTTTTTGATAAATCAGATTTGGATTACACAGTAGTTCTTTACATGCTAAGGAAAGCTGAATGTTAAGTTTGCGTTTGCTACAGATGTTTGCTGTGTCCCTTTGGCTGGTGGGAATAAAATGGTTGAAAGCCTTGCAGGTAGATATGCACCATTATTAGAGGCTTGTGGAAAAACTATGTGGTGAAGTCCAGTGTATTAATACCTGGAAAGTAATATTGTAGCAGTTTGGGGTAAAAAAGTCTCTTTTTTAGGGGGGACCAGCTGGAATTCAGAATACTTGAAGAAATCTTTTGATTATATGAGCTCACTCTAAGCATTATGTTGATGATGATATTACATTGCCTTCACAAACATACGGTGCTTGGGGCCATTTAAATATCTTTGTGGTTAAAGTACCTGTATCTTCCTTCAAAAATGCCACGAAGGGAGATTACAAAACTGATTATTTTGGCCCGTTCTGTACAAATAATGACTTCTCTTTAAAACCTGTGGCTGAAAAGATGGTTTAGTGTAAACTCTGTGGTGAATGAAAAGACAGCAGTGTGTCAAAAGTGAACTCCTCCATTTACTCACCTCCCAACAATTCATAACAGTTTACAGCTAGTGCCTTAGATATTAACCTTTTTAATGCTCAGTGTAGAGCCACCTCTAAGCAAACTGTTTTTATTCAGGTGAACTTTTTTAGTGTTGCTTGTTAATCACATTTCTTGGATGGGTCTCTTAAGAATTCTTGTGGGTTTTTTTTTAATTCTGCTACTGAAGATTGTTAGGGGGAGATGGCTAGTTTCAGCTTTGATAGCAATTTCTGCATTGCATGGACCGTTTGGGCAGGTTAGAGTAGGACAAAATGCTGCATTATCAAGATTACCTGGAGAAAGGGGACCCCCAGTGATGTTTTCCTCAAGGGGAATAAAAATGTCTGGCTTGTCTCTCTTGGAGAGGGAAAAGTCTTCAGTGTTGGTGAGCAGCCTGCAAAGTAAACTATCCCATCTATTGATTCCGCTTCAGAAACTTATTTCAGTATTCTCTGACAAGAAGACAATTTGAAATTCCCATCTGGACTGAAGAGTCCTTTACAGTGCTGTGATACAAGATAATAAGCCCTGCAGAATGTTTGATTTCATTCACATGTGATACTGGAACTGTCTTGCACTGATAGCCATCGTTCAGTAGCAATACAGAAACAAATCCATGTGGTTTTCCCATAGAGGACACAAGTGTCATGGCAGATTGTTGAAGTTTAATTACTACTAGCTGTCATGCATAAGGGTTTTAATATCTGGAAACTTGTTCCAGGTCATCAGATAGGACCACAAAGATGATTAATGGGATGGAGGATCTTACATATGAGGAGAAGCTGAGAGAGCTGGGGCTGTTCAGCCTGAAGAGGAGAAGATTCATGGGCAATCTTATCCATGTTTCTAAATGCTTGATGAGAGGGAATGAAGAAGAGGGAGCCAGACTTCTCAGGAAGAGAAGACAGGACAAGAGGCAATGGGCACACATTAAAACCCATGAAATTCTGTTTGAACACAAGAGAAGACTTTTTTTTACTGTAGGACACGGGTCGAACACTGGCACAAGTTTCCCAGAGAGGCTGTGGAGTCTCCATCTGTGGAGATACTCAAAACCTGCTGGACAACTTGTCCTGTTGTCCTGGGCAGCCTGCTATAGGTGACTGTGCTTGAGCAGGGGGGTTAGACTAGGTGGTCTAGAGAGTTCCCGTCCATCCTCAACGATTACGTGGTTTTGTGAATAGGCCAAAAGTTGTGCAGTGCTGTATTTTTTCAGGACTCTTTAAACAGAATTCAGATTTGGGCCTCATGTACCCTTGGACCGAAATAGTTCTTGTTGCATTCCAGAGGTGTAGCATTATCCCATGGGAACAATCTAATTTTTGCAGTTTCTCCAAACCTACGGCTTTCCCCACTGAGAGCAAGAATTGCTGTCTCTCACATGCTAGTATAATCAATATACTGTTTTACATAACTTGTTTCTATATTTAAGACAGGTAGTGCTATCTATTAGTCAGGTTCCCTGATACATCCTACATCTGCTCTTTAGTTGCTTACAACATTTTGTTTGAGCTGAAATTTTTCATCTTGTGTGTATGCTCTACCTTTCTTTAATTTTATTTTTTTTCCAATTTTGGTGTAGTGAAAACTACAGTTGGAGCAATTCAGCTTTTTCCTGAAACTAGGGGGAAAAGAGTAATTTGCCCTTGTCTTCAGTACTTCAAGCAGGTTGTCAGGAAAATTGGCTAAGCTTGTATGCACGTATGTTTTCCATAGATTGTGTCTGGTACTTAGAACTACTTTCCCTACCATTGCACATCTGCTGTGGACTTGCTGGATTCAGTGGCCTTAAGTGAGTCATAAAAATCTCTTCAGTGTTGTCAGTTATGCTTTTGCTGGCCCAAATAGCTGGAGCTGCCTGCCTGAATGAAGGAGCAAGAATTAGTTGTGTGAGGACAGCAGGAGTGTAAACTGGGACAAGGATCATTTAGGTTTTAAGGTCTCCTGGCAATGAGATGACAAACCTTTGAAGGGAAGGGATTCTTACTGCTGTAGATGATGGGGAAGAAAAAGACGGTAAGCTGCTGCTCCTGCCTCTTTTAGCCTTCACCTTAGTCTGTGAGCGCGCATGTGGGTTCTGAAAACTAATGGCACATGGCTGAAGCCAAGAGCAAAGGTGAATGTCCGAAATCAGAAACTGTAGCCGTCTCTTATTTCTGTTCTCCTAGAAGAAAGAGAGGGTACTTGCTGACAGGTAGTTTAACTAGTTTGAGGCATCTGGCTATGACTGCCTGAGAAAGGGCACCCACATGTGTTTAGGAGTGGGAAAGCAGCAGCTTGGTGAAAGCAGCAGCTTGGTGAAAGCAGTACCTTGGTATTCTACTTCAGTAGTTTTGGATCCATTTGCTGGTTATCACTTGAGAAAACTTGTACTATCATGAGGTTCAGTGGATCACACTTTTTTTTGCCTTTCCACCATAGCATCAACTTTCTTGGTGCTAGTGCAAGCAAGTGTGAAACACTTCATCTCCTCCAAGGATCAGGGCAGATGCCACAGAGCTTTGGGACTTCGGTTCTGTGCCTCACTGGTGAAGCCCACCCAAGAGGGTGAAAAAGTTTCTAGCTAATCATCAGACACATTGTCTTTTTCAGACAGGTTTCTTAAGGAAACAAGCTTCAATGATTGAACTGTGTTGGCTTTTCTGCCCCAGTCTGTTTTCAACCCATCAGTCCATTTGAACCAGATTTGGCAGGGGAGTGAGGTCCTTAAAAACATGAAGTTCCGATTTTCATGAAAATCAGTGTCTGCTTTTGGAATGGATTAGTGTCCCATTGAGGACTAGTGTCCCACTGAGGAAAGAGGTACACTGAGGTCAGCAGGCAAGTTCGCAGGCTAGTCTGCACATGCATGAATGGCCAAGCAGGATACATGTAGTAGAACCAGTCCCAGCAACTGCTGCTTCTTGCCTAGGTTTTATGTGAGGGAGCTGTGTGTGTTTGGGAAGGGGGGGATGCAGGGAAGTAGGACACATTCAAAGAAACAGGCTTTCTTATTTCTGCTCTTTGAGAAACATCTTGTAGGAACTGTATTCTCTCTTTCCCAGTAGATGTCTGAGGCAGACAGCTACATGACGTCTAGTTATCAGAACACGAATGTCTTTTCTCTCCCAGTAAGGGCTGTTCTTGCTGCCTCAGCTTGTACTGTGGCTGTAGAAGAGTTTTACACCCTGGTTTCCATTTTATTCTTTTCTTTCAAGGTGTTGCAGGTTGAGAAAGATACTTCGATCTGGAATCTCAAAATCGAATACCTGGATTTTCTTTCCAGTCACAGATCGAAGAGCTAGCCAGAGAAACCTTCAGCTTTCAACAGTGATCTCAAAATTCACACAGTAGTGTCCTGACATATTTCAGTTTTCAAGAAACCCGTTCCTCTTGTATAAAGTAGCTATATACTTTTTGCTAACTGTTTGAAAAGGTTACTGAATTCTTTTTTACTCTTTTAACGTATCTTGCAGATCTAAACTTCCAGTGCAGACAGGAAAACTGTATAACCCGGGGATTTTATAGCACCCTGTTTCATTAAACAAAAAAACCTAAACCACCCCTATCTTGGAGGAACTTTTCTGTACCTATTGTAGCATATAGTTTGTACCTGCTTAGCACATCCACATGCTTAGCTGTGTTTGTTCAGAAGACTATCAAAGCACATGTTTGTAATACACATCAGTTGCCATATACATTGTAAATACATCTCGTGGGAAGGTGTGGAAGGGGAAGTTGAAACGGCTCTTTTGCCGATGATTAAACCAAAACAAAAACAACTGCTGATTCCCTGGCCAGCCAGCTTGCTGGGACATTTTTATAATTCTTGTGCTCTGTTGTTGGAGATCTCCAATTAGCCTCAAACTGGAGCTCGCAGCTTGTGTGTGAAACAGGCAGCTGCTGGCACGCAATCTTCCCTGAAGTTGTTTCCTTTCCTTTTTCCTGAGATTTAGCGAAGGGGGGGGGAAGGGGTTGGAGTCACATGGATACAAAGCTTTTGATTAATGTCCAAGCCTGTGCTGCTGCGGAGGCTTTCCAACCTCTCAGCTAACAGGGCGAGCTGGGAACCAGTGACCGCTCGTTTCCTCCAGGCTGGGTCCCCTTCCTGACGGGAAAGGAGCACGCACTGGGCTGGCTCCTCGCCTCCGGACCTCGGACCGCTGCTGGAGCTGGGTGAGAAGGGGCTGAGGCTGCTGCGCGGCTGGGGACCGGCCGGAGCCCGGCCCCGCTATGTAACTTAGCGGGGTCTTTTGTTGTCCTTGTCCGCAGCGCAGTGCCGGGGCGCTCAGGCAGCGCTGCCTGCAGCCGGGAAAGACGCCGGGCTGGGAGCACCGCTACTCCTCGCTGCACCATGACAGAGGAAAGCAAAGGGGAAGGCAAGGGGGAAAGCGGGAAGGACTTGGAGAAGCAGCTTCGCTTGCGCGTCTGCGTCCTCAATGAGCTGCTCAAGACCGAGCGGGACTACGTGGGCACGCTGGAGTTCCTGGTGTCGGTGAGCGGAGGGGCGCGGAGCGGGGGGGGGCAGGCCTCGCCTCGCCT